CATGGGGGAAATACATGAAAATAGGTTAATATTGTTTGTAAGGTTGATGGGAAATGTTTATTACTTTTATGATTTAAAAGATGTATAGCCCTGATACTCCATCCTGGGTGCATTCCACCAGGTAATGACCACAGCAAAAGTTTTCCACGAGGCTCTATTGTCACACAAACTTTTCACATTTTCAAACTTGATTCATCTTTTTCCCCCCCCCCTCGTTCCAGGGGTTTTCTTTAAAAGGTCTTCATGCAAATGCCTTGGTTTCTCACAAATGATGGCCTCTGAAATGCTATCACCTGCTAACTCTTTGTTGTGTATCCAAATTAATAAAAACTTTTCAACATCCTCAAGTGTTTGTGTTCTTTGTTTCGGGATTGTTGATATGCCTTTTGCCACTTTAACGCTCATAATGTCCTTTTTCTTAGCAAGTATAGTGCATATTGTTGACATAGATTTGTTGTACTGCCTAGCTACTTCAACAACCTGTGAACTATTTTTTAGGGATATTCCTACATGAGCCCTGAGTTTCTGGACGTTGATGAATGCTCTCTTGTTTTTCCTCTATGGTCATTCTCACATGTGTTTTCTTGGCTTCAACCTTACCACTGGCTTTCTTGGGACTCATGGCAAGATATATAATAACAAATTTTATGTTCAAATAGCCAAAAATCCCAAAACAAATGTAATGCTTTATAAAGAATTCAGGCGCGATAGTTACTAGGCAGGAGACACTGGTAAACTGAGGTGTGATCACCATGCCACCACGCGCTAGGTCAGCCCATACGCATATCAACAAACTCATTTCCCGAGGCAAAGTTTGTAACCCGATTCAAATTTTTCGAAGAAATTAGGCTCGTAACCCGAAAAGTTCATAAATATTCATTCGTAAGCCGAGGTGACACTATATATAACTAAAAAATTAAAATTTTGTAGATACACTGTGCTGTATTGATGGATACATTCCACAACAAGTGTTTAATTGTGAGGAGACATAGCTATTCTGGAAAAAATTGCCGAAGAGGACATACATTACCCAAGAGGAGACGTCACTGCCCGGACACAAGCTAACTTGGGCTAACTTGTGTCAGGATAGGCTAACTCTTGTGCTGTGTGGCGATTTGAAAATTAAACCCTTGCTCGTGTATCATTCCGAAAATCCAAGAGTTTTAAAAAATATATAACGTGCAGAAAAACTGTGATGTGGAGTGGTTTGCCCTGCCATCAAAAAATATCTGCAAGAGAAAAGTTTGACACTCAAGGTCCTGCTTCTCGACAATGCTCCTGCTCATCCTCCAGACTTGGAGGATGCATTGTTGGGGCCACTTTTTTTTTTTTTAGGGATATTCCTACATGAGCCCTGAGTTTCTGGCTAATGTACCAATGACATGAAGGAGGAGTTTTCAACCTACCTTGTGTTAGGTGTGCAGGGGTCAATGGTTGAACATAATGTCAGGAGCAAAGGGGGGCGTTTGCCTCTTCGAACACAATTGCGACCATCTTCATCTCTTCGAACTATCCTAAATGCTCTCTTCACCTGTCTGACCAAATTGGGTGTCCAGACCACCTTTGAATCTGAAATTGTAAAATTAATAGCAATTTCAGAATATTCAGTCCATTTATACTAACAAAATTATACATACAGTACTGTAATTGAAATTTTACAGAATGATAAAGGCAATTTAGCAACTTTGTTAAAATGCACATGGGGGAAATACATGAAAATAGGTTAATATGGTTTGTAAGGTTGATGGGAAATGTTTATTACTTTTATGATTTAAAAGATGTATAGCCCTAATACTCCATCCTGGGTGCATTCCACCAGGTAATGACCACAGCAAAAGTTTTCCACGAGGCTCTATTGTCACACAAACTTTTCACATTTTCAAACTTGATTCATCTTTTTCCCCCTCGTTCCAGGGGTTTTCTTTAAAAAGGTCTTCATGCAAATGCCTTGGTTTCTCACAAATGATGGCCTCTGAAATGCTATCACCTGCTAACTCCTTGTTGTGTATCCAAATTAATAAAAACTTTTTAACATCCTCAAGTGTTTGTGTTCTTTGTTTCGGGATTGTTGATATGCCTTTTGCCACTTTAATGCTCATAATGTCCTTTTTCTTAGCAAGTACAGTGCATATTGTTGACATAGATTTGTTGTACTGCCTAGCTAGTTCAACAACCTGTGCACCATTTTGATGTTTATGAATGCTCTCTTGTTTTTCCTCTATGGTCATTCTCACATGTGTTTTCTTGGCTTGAACCTTACCACTGGCTTTCTTGGGACTCATGGCAAGATATATCATAACAAATTTTATGTTCAAATAGCCAAAAATCCCAAAACAAATGTAATGCTTTACAAAGAATTCAGGCGCGATACTTACTAGGCAGGAGACACTGGTAAACTGAGGCGCGATCACCATGCCACCACGCGCTAGGTCAGCCCATACGTATATCAACAAACTCCTTTCCCGAGGCAAAGTTTGTAACCCGATTCAAATTTTTCGAAGAAATTAGGCTCGTAACCCGAAAAGTTCATAAATATTCATTCGTAAGCCGAGGTGTCACTATATATAACTAAAAAATTAAACTCAGGATTACTTTCAACCCCCACCCCTTTTGCTCTACTCCATCGCCACCTACCTTCACCCCCCTCTATGATGTACTCTTCCATAGACACCTACCTTTGCCCCCCTCCTCCCCTCTACTCCTCCATCATCACCTACCTTCACACCCCCTCCCTTCTCCTCCTCCATCGTCACCTTCCTTTCACCCTCCTCTATGATGTACTCTTCCATAGACACCTACGTTCACTGCATATAATGCTCCCCTCTACTCCTCCATCGTCACCTACTTTCACCCCCCCCTCCGCTCTACTCCTCCAGGGTCGCAGACAATTTCACGAGCGTGAGAACTACGAGTTCTCTAACCACTCTCACACTCCTACTCTCTCACCAGTGAGGGGGAGGGAAGGAGGGAGGAAATGAAGGAAGAAAGGTGGGGGAGAGAGAATAGGCAGGGGGGAGGAGGGCCTAGATACATTTCTTCCATATAGATAGGTAGACTGAGGGAGAGCTGCTTGCCAAGAGCCCTATCAGACAGGCTTCCTATTCCTCAACCCTCCCTAATATGCCACATCCTGGTCAGGACAACTTGCTCGATTGTTATTCTTGGTGTGACTCGAGAACTGACCTCGAGGCGGGGCATGGGCATGGATTATCTCCCTGGGGCACGCACCTCCCTGCCCCAGCTCTCTCTCTCTCTCTCACATAATCTATCAAGGGTCTAACATGAGGTCATTGTGCCTACCAGAAGTGTATATGTCCAAGGCTGGCCACCTGTCTGGACCATTCAAATGTATAAACACGTAATTAGTCTATTAAAATTATATATAATGCTACAATTATAAATTAATTTGTTCATGGTCATTCGTTTATCAGTATTTTAATATGAGGTATATATACGCATGTATGTATACGTTGACGTACACATATATGATTATGTGTATGGAATGATTATGATTATGTGTAATCATATATGATTATATCTAATGGAATGCATTAGTAAGTGATGTGGTGGAGGCTGACTCCATACACAGGTTCAAGTGTAGATATGATAGAGCCCAATAGGCTCAGAAACCTGTACACCTGTTGATTGACGGTTGAGAGGTGGAACTAAAGAGCCAGAGCTCAACCCCAGCAAGCACAATTAGGCGAGTATATGAACGAATGCACATGTACACTTTCAAATGAATTAAGATACCTTGAGATACACAATGACTTAGTTTAAATAGTTTAAACACATTATGGTACTGATTTTGACATGCTGATGTCTGGAAGGGAGAGGGGGTGTGGGGGTTATTGTCTGAGGTGGAGGACCAGAGGAGGGGGTCAGTGGAAGGATGGTGGCTGGAGGGATGCCATTGTTCTAATGGTTATGAAAACAATTATTGATGGCAGGAATTCAGTGGGTGTGTACTTCACCCGCACCATCACCATACTGTGCCCTGCTACAACCCCCCCCCCCACTCCACCCATGCTGTGCGGGGCGTATTACACATTATGGGATAACCGACTGTCTGTCCATTCCTGTCTGCTCGTTATGCTGCCCTTCCTTTTGAAAATTGTCTGCTTTATCGACTTCCTTCAAGACCACACGTTAGCCTCTTATCACGCCCTCTTACCACTCTCAGGGAGCCGGCTCTTCTATACAATAGTTACCACTCAGTCCCCAAGGTGAAAGAGTGTCCGGGCATATGACTTGTTACGTGTACTTATTTGCGATTCGTTTGGGCTGTCACGTGTGGTGATTAGTGTTGGGTAAGGCTAGGCCAGGTCAGGTCAGACTAGGCCAGGTCAGACTAGGCTAGGTAAGGCTAGGCCAGGTCAGGTCTGGTCAGGTCTGGCTAGGCCAGGTCAGGCCAGGTCAGGCCAGGCCAGGCTAGGCAGGGTGAGAGAAGTAAAGCGGCAGGTACTTACGTTTCCGAGAAAGTAGCGGCGGTAGTATATTGTTGATTTAGATTCGACGACATCCTGAAGCTAGTAGGTGGCGGCCTCATCGCTCTCGAACTTCTTGTTGTTGTAGGGGATACGAGGCACACCCAATATCCCCCTTACATTGATCACATCGCACACTAATATTTTTACTATTTCGGACACCAGATTTATCTGTTTCGTATATGTATAATTGTTCAATATTAAAACCACAATAGAATGCTCTTAACAGTTACAATTTTCAACTTAACAGCCATATAGTTGGCAAGAACGCCGCCCGCCAGTATAAACACACCAGAATGACCACAAACATGATCGAACGCACAAAACACAAGATTTTTGCAAGTTTTTGGATAAATCAAAAAATCAAATCAAATGTTTATTCAGGTAAAGTACGTACATACAAGGTTACATACAAACATTGATGGATTTATAGATAGAGCTAGTACATACAAAGCCTAAAGCCTTTGGCTTACGCAAAGCGTTTCGGGCAGGATGTAAACTTCTTTTACATTTATTATGTGATAGTTATACTTGTAAATAATAATAAATAATAAAGTTAAGCGCCTAATATGTAATATTAATCAATAAAAATGCAGTCATAAGCCATACGCCTGTCTGTACATGTCGTTTGTGTAAAAGATTTTGGGCGCTCGTATACTTGTGTGCTAACTTGCGTTCACAACTGGTCAGAAAATTCTCGCCAAATTGATTGGGAGATGTCTTCTTCAAAATCGAATTGTAAAAGCACTTAGGAGACGCACTTTGTCCTTCCCAGAAGCTGCCTCCAGCAATGCTGTGGCAATGTTCTCCACTATGCGGCGGTCCCATTTGGCCTGTTTGTAATCGTCTGGAAAAGTTGGTCGAGGTTAAGAGTTGACAAAATTGTCACAAAATCCCAAAATTTGGGATCATAAATCCCAATGGAGTCTCTTAGATATTCTGGTTGTATTTCATTCACTAATTCACCTGTAACAAAGGTCGAGGATATGAATGCCGACAATGCTGTGTCGCTTTGCGAAAACCTATGCCCCCGAGTCTAATTGGGAGCGTTGCTTGGTTTCATTGGGCATCTTGCAGGGAGAGGTTTAACACTTTAATGGTCATTGATTTTAGGAGTGCGTCATATTCTGTTAATTTTGGACTGTCGAAGGAGGGAGCATACCTTAGGAAATAGGTCAGTCTGGGCCGAGCCATGCACCGTGTGGGAAGGTATAAAGTATCCTTATCTTGAAGTTATCTTTTATGGGCTATTCATGCCCGTGCCACCTCTTGGTTGGCTTAATCTTTATCCACAAGCACAACTAGGCGAGTACACACATATTGGAACTGTTCATTTAATGTTTCATACATTTTTTTTCATTCCCTCTGTATTTGTTCCCTATTTTCAATCTCTGGATTTAATCTTTTAAATGCAGCTTGCTCTTAATAAATTTATAGAAAAGGCCTGGTTCTGTTTTACAGTTAATATGTGTAGCAATAATATTTAAATATAGGTACATATTTTCCTTCCAAATAAATAGCATGTAGCTGTACTGCTTTAGTGATGTTTACCCTTGAATAAACCTTCTAGTTCCAATAAAGATAGAAATGCATAATCATTTATTTGCTAATTTCATCCCTTGTTCTACTAAAGAACTAACACCTAGGGAGCAGCATCATGTAGAACCTTATCACAAGAAGGCATTTTCAAGCATTAATAACTTGAGCACTTTAAACTTTGGCACAAAATTGTGCCACTTCTGTAGCCACAGTAATTAAAAGCATGCTTGTAATAACAAACACCAATGACAGGAATGGTTGAGCACTGTGACAGTAAGCACATCAGTGTGAAAAATGAGCAGCAAGAGCTACAAAAGTGCATGCAGAATAGAACATGGAACAACTGGGAGTATAGTGTGTCATGACAACATTCTCCATACAGAATAAGAACAAATAGTGTACTGCACATAAATTTTAAACACTGTACTGTATTAAGAAAACTTACCAACATTGGCTCTCTTTTCACCATAAATCACTTTGCCATCAAATTCATCAACTGGAAATTTCATTTCTTGATCGACCTGCTGGATGGTCACTCCCAAGTGCTCTTCAATATCAGCTAGGTACTAGTGGTTCAGAATAGAAAAAGATCACTAGTGAAATAACAAGGGTGTCAGTCAAAGCCTAACATTTAATTCACATTATAAACAAAATATTTTGAGTGCACTTCAATGTACAATGTGATTCTCAATGTAGTGGTGGACTGAGGCTCTCAAAAGGTAATATTGTACGTATTTTTCCATTGTATACATCTGTCACTACCCTACTATACTCATATGAACAAACACTGCCTAATCTTGCCAATTTCTTCCAATCATTAATTCTTTATTCTGGCTTTTCTAAAGCAATAAATTACTTGTGTAGAGGAGGAAATGTATATGTTTATCTCTCAGAATGTTCGGTGATACGTTTATTGCTTGTGATGTGTGTCTATGTATGTATTAACACGATGTACTGAACGGGGTGAGAATAGCTTGAGCTACCTCATCCCTTTGTGTGTATTTTACCTCAATAAACTTATTTCAATTTCAAAGCAATAAATGGTTCCTAAATCTAAAATATGGCATTTTATTACCGATTCACACCTACAGTAATTTTGCGTCCTGGGCACATGTAATTAAATTTATGTTTGAAAGGGTAAAGGGTGCCGTTTACACTGCAGAGAGAGAAGCCAAAGTTTATTCAGATAGCTTGAAGAATAAGATCAGTATGACACCCAGAAGCTACAGAATATCTGTAAGGAGTGATTTGAAATACAGTAAAGAGGCCTCTGAGATAATGTAATTGGCATTATTGGTGCTGCAGAAGTATGTAGATTGAAGAATTTGTGCCATGAAGAAGTTATTTACTGTTAATACATATTTTAGAAGCACCAGAGACATACAAGTACTTTACTTCCTAATCAGAATTTATCACTTTTAGGCTCTAATATTTTTTTTAATACTGTATCAGTTTTAGACTAGAGCCTTTCAAATCTTTAAAAAGGCAATGATGTTCTATATATATCAAATGTGAAAGATAAATACGACAAAAAAATCTCTTGAGGACTAACCTGTGATTCGTTGTACCAAATGCAACAACCATCTTCCGTTGTCAACCGCGTGTTAAAACAGTTACGCCCACGAGTTGAACACCACTCTCCATGGTACCACACCTGAAACAAGAGAAGAATATACAAAATTGATACTCTATTTTTAAATTTATCCCTTGGCCTTTAATACTGAACCTCGTGAAAGACTTATCAGAAATGTCAAGGAACGTGTTATTTCAAGGATGTTCTTCCGAAGTCTGATTAGGGAATGGTTATAAGACAACAGGATCACAAAGAACATTGTGTGAGGAGTATGTTCTGCAATTTTCAATTTCAGATTCACTTATAAATACATGCATGACAAATATTAAAGAACTTGTTCACAACCTTTGAGAGACCAAATTGAATTATGCAGTAGCATTGAGCCCATCTTGAAAAGTACAGCAATTAACTGGAAAAAATGCAGACATGCAGCTAAATGGCTTCCAGAACTGAGAACCAAGAACTACTAGGAGAGGCTACCAATTAATTTACTACTGGGGTTCAAGGTTCCCCGTGGCCCGGTCCCCAACCAGGCCTCCTGGTTGCTGGACTGGTCAACCAGTCCGTATCCCAGCTGTTGGATATGGCTGCTCGCAGCCTGACATACGAATCAAAGCCTGGTTGATCAGGTATCCTTTGGAGGTTTTATCGAGTTCTTTCTTGAACACTGAGAGGGGTTGGCCCGTTAAACCCCTTATGTGTAGTGGAAGAGTGTTGAACAGTCTCGGGCCTCTGATGTTGATAGAGTTCTCTCTCAGAATACTTATTGCACATCTGTTTTTCAATGGGGGTATTCTGCACATCCAGCCATGCCTTCTGGTCTCTTGTGATATTTGTGTGTGCAGATTTGGAACCAGCTCTAATATTTTCCATGTATAAATTATTATGTATCTTTACTGCCTGTGCCCTAGAGAATACAGATTTAGGCATTTTTAGTCAGTCTCTGTAATTTAGATGGTTTATCGAGAGAATTCTGGCAGTGAAGGATCTCTGCACGCTCTCCAGGTCAGCAATTTTCCAGCTTTAAACGGGGCTGTTATTGTGCAACAATATTCCACTCTAGAAAGCACTAGCACCTAGAAAAGTATCATTGGTACAGCATCTCTTGTTTGAAAGGTTCTGTCATTTTTCTTGCAATTCTGACTGCTACTTTATTGTGTTCTTTAAAAGTAAGATCTTCTGACATGATTACTCCCCAATCCTTTATATTCCTTTTATGTTCTATGGTATGATTTGACTGCATTTTGTACATGGTTTCCGTTTTTATATTTTTTATTTTCCACAGCGAAAAAGTTGGAACTTATCTTCATTAAATACCATATTATTTTCTGTGGCCCATTGATTTACATCAGGGTTAAATATACCAAAGCCTAAGACAGAAGAGAGGCAATATGGTCACTACCTACAAAATTGTAACAGGAATCAATAAAATTGACAGAGGAATTCTTGAAACCTGCCATACAAATTCAAGAACACGAGCTCACAGATTTAAGCCAAGAAAACAAAGGTGATGGAAAAAATATTAGAAGTTCTCTTTTGCAAACTGTGATAGAGGGTTGGAACACGTTAGGTGGTGGTGGATGCCAAAACCATCAGTAGTTTCAAAGCTTCAAAATACTAGGATGACTTGACACCATGAGCATAGCTCTCATCCTGCAATTAAACTATTGTAAGGAGACTTCAGATTTTCCTGTTCCTTTCATACAACTGTCACATATGAAGGAGTTTTTTGGAGTGTGCACATAAGGGAATATCCAATGGAAAAGTATTCAATGTTGCAAAAAGCTGCAACATACCATAAATTACATTATCATTCTTTCCTCTTTAAATATTAACCAAGCTACAACAAAGTCTACATGCGAGACTTTACACAGGTTACTTAGGTTCAAGGAATTCATCTTTACAATAGTGAAAATAAGGACAGCAAAAGCCAATGTAAAATAATGTTAAATCAGGGGCTATTGCCAGTTAATAAAGAATGCAATTATTGGTTTAAAGCTCTAACCTTCTCTGGCACAGCAGCAACAAGGGAGATAGCTAGACCTCTGCTCTACCCACACGCCCAATACGATGAACATAGTTGCTCTTCTCATCTGGCAGTGTCACACTGACTATAAACGGCAGGCCTCCAACATCTGCAGCAAACATTTGGATGTTTTAACAATATCCTCAGACATCTTTTAAAATATAGAGAATTTCCCAAGAGAAAACCAATGCATGCAACGAAAAGAACTTACCAATTCCTCGAGCAGCTACATCAGTGCATATAAGGAACTTCACTCCACCATCCTTAAATTTTTGGAGATTCGCTTTGCGTTCATTAGACTTGCGGTCACCATGGAGAGACACACACGAATATGGATTGCCTCTGTTATTGGCCCCTCCTCCTGTTAAAAGTTTCGGGGCAGTCAGGGTTTTGTTTAGCACAATGATAAAGGATGACAAATGTTCCTATAAACCAACTACAGTATTTTAATTAAATGAAGCACTTATCTCATACCCCTCTATGGGCTCCATAGGCTCAATTTTAATTATACTATATTAATATTTTATGAGACTATGTATTATGAGGATTATTTAACCTCACTAATCAGCCCAGGTCATTTCACCAGCAGTATACATCAACAAGGACCAATTTTATGAATAGCCTAAGATTTTAAACTCCAGCAGGTAGAGGGGCTCGCATCTGCTTCCTCACACCACAAGTAACCAGATGCCATCTTGGGGAAAAATCATGGGCACTCCTGGCTGTGAGGGGCTCAGTAGTGAACGAGACCATGAGTAGTGCATACAGCGGTAGTTCACAACACTGTGAAGCTTGTGCCTACAGCATCACTTAATAACAACGAAATAACTTAATTTAACAATGATCGTGTTATATAGATGATCCTGACAGTGTTAAAGACTTTGTACAAGGTTCAGATATCAGTGAAACCAATGCTGGCTATGACATTTACAGCAAGAGACACATAGCCACAGGTTGGTGCACCTATGCATCAGTAATGGGACCTCATGCTCCTTTAGAAAAAAGAACATGTGAAAAATTATTCATATTCAGGATTTATTGACCAGGTTTCTCATAAGAGCACTGTTTTGGCTAGTGCTGTAGTGCATCAGGTGGCACTTTGCTTCGTCATGTGCCAGCAGCAAATGAGCACATGGGACTATACTGTGGTTGTATCTATATTAAAAGAATATCACCCACTGGAACTGCTTAGTGGTTCATAATATTGCATAAAAATGTAGGTACACACACATAATGTGTATATACATTGTAATAACTACAAATAATACATATTAGTGTTCAAAGAATATAATAGTGTGCATATTAGTAACAAATACATGTGTGTTTGTTATACATGGGTATGGGCAAGATACCCATGTATCTTGCCTTACGGCTACTGTGTGTTGATACCTGGTTGATGGGGTTCTGGGAGTTCTTCTACTCCCCAAGCCCGGCCCGAGGCCAGGCTCGACTTGTGAGAGTTTGGTCCACCAGGCTGTTGCTTGGAGCGGCCCGCAGGCCCACATACCCACCACAGCCCGGTTGGTCCGGCACTCCTTGGAGGAATAAATCTAGTTTCCTCTTGAAAATGTCCACGGTTGTTCCGGCAATATTTCTTATGCTTGCTGGGAGGACGTTGAACAACCGCGGACCTCTGATGTTTATACAGTGTTCTCTGATTGTGCCTATGGCACCTCTGCTCTTCATTGGTTCTATTCTACATTTTCTTCCAGGTTCCCAGGATTAAAGTCCTTGCGGGCTTGGTCTCCGACCAGGACTCTTGGTTAATTTATTGGTTTAATTTATTTAAAGATTTACAAATTCAAGACACCTACCGATCTGATTAAAATAGCGCTCTAAATTGTCACAATCCAACTTAGTGCGGCAGAATATTAGTGCTTGATCCATTTTGTGTGTGTTAATAGCCTCAAATGCAGTACAGTACTCTCTTTTCAGCAGCTTCACCGCCTCACTTAATGTCTCTGAAAGGAGAAAAAACAAAACAGCAATGAATGTAAAGAAATGCCTCTTTCCTGTAGATGTCCAGTGGCCCTCCTGAAGCTATCTCACCGAAATTGCTCCGTGCAAGTGGGTCACACCAGTCACGGAATTTGTTTGGACATGATTCGATATTCAATAATGCTATATTCATAATCCTATATATTCATGATCATAATGTTAAATTCAAACTATTATTAACTATTGGAAAATATTATCAAGTATTGCATTATTGGGAGAGTGAGTACTACATAATACTGTAATCTCAATGCTAGAAGGGTATGAGATTAGCGCTGCAATTGAGTGGTGGACCGGAGCACTAAAGTAGCAATCACCAATAGAACAACAGCAACAGAACTGAGTAGGGAAGTTAGTTGAAGGCAGGGGCCAGGCCAACTGGTCGTGCCGATCGGTCCGTCTAATTACCACAAGCTACCACAAACTACACAAACTTCAGAAAGCTTCCTGGCAATACGTTAGTAATGAATAAATATGATATATTTACTCATTATAATGTTGGTGCTGAATGTATAACACGAAAAAACAATTTTAATCTGAAAAAGTATCTTTTTATAAAGAAATTAGACGAAAATAAAAAGCTGGTGACGCCAAATCAAGTCGACGATCCAAGCTTCGGTTAGGTTAGGTTAGGTTAGGTTTGGTTAAGTTAGGTTAGGTTAGGTTAGGTTAGGTTAGGTTAGGTTAGGTTAGGTTAGGATAGGTTAGGTTAGGTTAGGATAGGTTAGGTTAGGTCAGCCTAACTTAATATATCATATTTATTCATTACTAACGTATTGCCAGGAAGCTTTCTGAAGTTTGTGTAGTTTGTGGTAGCTTGTGGTAATTAGACGGACCCGTACCGATCGGTACTAATGCTTAAGTACAAGCCAGCTTAAGTGAACCTCAAAAAATATTCATAGCTCATAATGTGAAGCAGCATATTACAAACCATTAAAATTGGCAAATGGCATCTAAATACATATCTGAACAAGCTAAATAAAAATGCCGGAGACCAAACTGAAAAGCGTAACAAATTAAAACATTAGAAGCACTTACACTTACAATACTTTAAAAAACTAAGACACATTCTCAAATATTAACTGTAGAGCTTAGCCTTGCACTTTTATTTGCTTACGTACGCCATCCTTAACATACACGCCATCAGTTTGCAGATCAATCAGATCAATCCATTAATGTAACATCACTTGTATGTATGTATGTACCCTACCTGAATAAACATATTTATTTATTTATTTATTTTAGATGGCGACGAAGATTGCTCCAGCTACTATCCGTTCGGAGATCAATGTTTACGACAACATGGTGGACAGTCTCGGGCACAGCATCTTCCCCTTTAAGATCTACCCAGGTCGGGAAGTGCATCAAACGTTCCTATGTAAAGTTTTTCTATAGTAAAATTCACTGGTCGGAGCAAAATTATTTTAAGGTATTGAAATATCTGTACTCTATTTGGAATTCAGAGGCTCTAATATCAAGAAAATATTCTTGGTAAAATTATTATTTTTTTCTTCTTTTTACAAATTTTTTGTACATCTCTTATTTATAGACACTAAATTAAAAACCAAAATTAAACAAATATTATACGATAAAAGTTTTGGCTTCAACATGTACACCCTTATTTAACAGACTAGTAGCTACCAATTCTTTCAAATAATCTGCTATAAGAACTGACATAACAATCATTAGCAATACAGTACATTATATTCATACTGTACCATTTACAGACAATTCTATTTGTTCAGGTAATAATAACATTTAAATACAAAATATAGCAAGTACTGTACTTCTGTTCATTTTTTAAGTGTAATCTGCTTTAAATACATTTTCCATCTCCTTAATACAATTAAGCAGAATTTCAACATTTTTCTACATATTTCTGGAATAAATAATTTAAATTGACTTAAATAGTGCATTGCAAGTGCATCGTTAGGTGCAATGCACTTGCATCATCCACACACAGGATTCTTAAGTTCAGTGTCTAATATCAGACAAGCTTGCTCCACTACCACTATGTTCCACTTTCACGAGGTTGAAAGGCATCAACATCAAGAAAGCATGGAGGCGTATACGAAGAGATAAAACTCTGGCTCCAGACATCACTCGGTACCCTACCTTACCTTGAGGTTACCTTGAGGTGCTTCCGGGGCTTAGCGTCCCCGCGGCCCGGTCGTCGACCAGGCCTCCTGGTTGCCGGACTGATCAACCAGGCTGTTGGACGCGGCTGCTCGCAGCCTGACGTATGAGTCACAGCCTGGTTGATCCCTTACTCAAATCTCTGAATATGTTAGATATTAAGTCCTTGCACATCCTCTCATGTGTATTTTATATATATAAAACGCTGAACTATAATGTCAATCCTGACCTTAAAAGCTTCCTAAAAGGTTGTAACAGATCCCATGAGCACCACACCAGAAACAAATACCTATTTGATATTCCAAGAGTACGACTTAGTCAAACTAGTAAAGCTTTACAAATCAAGGGACCCAGAATGTGGAATGACCTTCCCAATTATGTTAAAGACTGTACCTCTCCCAACCAGTTTAAGATGAAAACTAAGTACCACCTAATTAACTCCCTGTAACCTACCTCACCCCTAAATGTCAACGCATGTCTACGATTTTAAACAATGCTGTTTGTTGACCAAATCGTATTTTTGTTTTTTCCACCATGTTCCCCCCCCCTTTTTTCATTTTTTCTGATTTTTTCTCAACACAATTTATACTTTAATCTCAATTTTTATTGTTTGCTGATGATACTACCCTCATCTACTCAGACCCCAACCCACTCATATTAAATAATGAATTAAAAAAAATCCACTTATGGATGTCAACCAACAAACTCACACTAAATATAGAAATGACCTACTACATCTTATTTGGAAACAAATCAACAAATGCAGTTCAGCTTCAGATAGACAATGTTAATACACTTTAGCGCCTTCGACAAACGGAAAAAAAACTAGCGTAATGTGCTCTCGGGCGATCGAGCGGCAACACTGAAAAGTGTATACTCTTTTCACTGTTCTGACCTTAATTTTCGATGTACATATTTCATTTTTGCAGCAATGTGTTTGCAATAGAATATTCTACAAGAACAAGGATGCGTTAGACCGGCACCAAATAAAAAACCTACGTCGATTACACTCATCGTGTCAACAATACAATAGTCTTCCCACGAAGATACAATACAATTCCGTTCTCTAAATAGGCTATGTGGCTATTAGAGAAAACGAAAATTTTATGGCAAACATGTTCATACTATCCAAGTCCATCGGATAAGAATTGAATTTTATTGAAATATTTTTTCATCGGTCGCGTAAACACGACGCCCGCTCGCATTCAAGAGAAAAATACCGGTCGGTCTCTTACGACCGGGGTGCACTAAATTAAATTAACACTTTCGAGCTCCCGGCGAATGAAAAAAAAACTTGCCCTTTATATGCGCGGCATTTCGGGCGATCGAGCAGCAACACGGAAAAGTGTATATATACTCTTTTCACTGTACTGACCTTATTTTTCGATGTATGTATTTCATTTTTGTAGCAATGTGTTTGCAATGGAATGTTCTACAAGAACATACGTATAAAGTGTCACCAAAGCATGAGTTAGACCAGCCCCAAATAAAGATCACGTCGATCACTAGCCGTGAGCGCCAAACGGCGACGAAATGTTTCTACTCTTTTCAGGGTTGTCAACTCCACACTTGTTCTACAGCGTTAAATTTGGTATCACTGAGAGTGCAATAAAATTCCCTACGAGTACATATGCATATAAATGTAGAATCAATGTCGCAGCCCACCCGCAAGAGTGTGGGAAGTGGCCCAAGTGTTACCCATGACGGCACATCGGCGAAACCCCTATTGAAAAGTGTATACTCTTTTCACTGTTCTGACATTAATTTTCGATGTACGTATTTAATTTTTATAGCAATGTATTTGCAATAGAATGTTCTAGAATAAAATACGTATAAAATGTCACACAAGAATGCGTTAGACCGGCACCAAATAAAAAACTACGTCTATTACACTCGTCTTGTCAACAATACAATGGTTTTACCACGATAATGCAATGGTATGCCATTTTCTCAAATAGGTCATGCGTCTATTAGAGAAAACGAAAATTTCATGGCAATCATTTTTAAACTATCCCCAAGTCGATCGGATAAAAAAAATGGATTTTCTATAAATATTTTTTCTCAACAACAACGAGTAAGTTCCTCTTGGGTGACTTAATCTTCATCAATCATCGAGTAAGTACGTCGAGAGAATCTAAGAACGGTAACCAACTTACCAGCCTTAGAAAACAGGATCAAACAAAGAATAGCCACCATACCAGCAAAACTTGTTGGAACCACCACCAGACTGTCAATCAAAGATAGCATACACAGATCTCTTCAGAGAAACCTTCAATATAGAACAGGTGCATGGACGGAAAATCTGGTCAAGATTCTAGAGATAGTGGACTTGAAATGCACCATTAGAAACAAGGGGAAGATAGACCATATCAACACTTTCAGCAGCCTCCTCCATGGGAAGAATCGAGTCTAAAGATAATCATTGAAGGATTATCAGGTAAAAAAATCATGATGTGACTCGCAGAGGTTCAAAACAGTCATAGAACAACAAATGGAAACCATCTCAAGACCTACAACGACTCACATCTTCACAGATGGATCAGTTGATCAAGAAAGAGGTTGTGCTGGGGCAGCAGTTTACACTAACAACCATGAAGCTTACTGGAGCATGAATAGTGGGTGCTCAACATTGCAAACAGAATTATATGCCCTGAAGGAGGCCATAAATTATACAATTTAGGATAATTTACATGATGTCATCATTCATACCGACTCTAAATCTTCGCTCCAGGCATTGTTATCCAGCCAGCACAGATATAATATACAACTCATCACAGAAATCCTATATATAGGAAAAGAAGCCCACAGTCTAGGGCTGTCAATCGCCCTAAATTGGTTACTTAGTTACACTGGCATAGATGGTAATGAAAAGGCAGACTCACTAGCAAAAACTGCCACTGTTGTACAGATTAAAATACCTCCAAGTTTTTCATAAATTAAGGAGAAAATCAAGAAGAAAATACAACTATAAAAAGTCACCACAGAGCCAAAGTAGCGGAGGAAGCTCCACTGAGATATCGTACGAACAAGCCACTGGGTACAGCTCTTTCAAGCCTGGCAAAAAGATATCCAGAGAGATTGCAGTAGCCATACACAGACTCAGACTTGGTTACAAGTGCTGCTGGGAGGTAATAAACCCAATAGTTAAAGAGTGTCACATCTGTGGAACAGAAGCAGAGGCGCCACTATTGCTCTACTTACTGGTATGTGAAGCTACTGAAGCCCTGCGCATCAAACTCAACATTAATCCAACGACAGCAGCTGCATTAGATGCAAATTCCACCGCGACTACAATGATTAGAAAAGCAGTTGAAGAATGGGACACACTAGTGAACATTCTGCACTCTACATCCGCCACCAAGATAATGTTATTAAAAGAAGACTAAAACTAGTTCCCTAAAACAGAAGTGAAAAAGAAACAGGGGAAAAGGAGAAAACCCAACCTCCAATTAAAACTTTGACCCAAATATCACAGTAACAAGGTTATTGCGAATAACCGAACTCAATTACGGGCTCACTATAGCCCGTGCTGCATGGACATCTTGTTCTGAGTACCTAAATCTAAAACATCAACAACAACGAGTAAGTATTCTTACGGGCAATTCATACCCATGCCACTTCTTGTGTGGCTTAATCTTCATCAATCAATCGAGTAAGTATTTCTTGGGAGGCTTAATCTTCATCAATCAATCGAGTAAGTATTTCTTGGGAGGCTTAATCTTCATCAATCGAGTAAGTATTCCACTAGACCAGCTTCCAGAAATCCAACTCTTAAACAAGAATGAGCCTACCCACATCCAAGGAGGCAGATTAGACCTAACCTTCGTTTCAGCCTCGCTAAGAGATGCAACAACATGGTCAGTTGAGCCCACACTCACAAGCGACCACTATGGGGTCCAAATTGATCTTCAGTTAGATCTACCCACCCCACCTCCGCCTCCATCTGAAGCCTGGAACTTCGCTTTAGCAAAATGGGACCGATTTCAAAACCTCCTTTCAAAGTGGCATGTATGCCACTCTGAACAGGATAGAACTAGTTTGATCATAGTTTGACGTTTAAGAACCGAAGACATTAATCATGCAGAACAAGATTTAGTCAAAGCGATTCAAAGTACAGCCAACCACTCAATTCCACTGAGAAAAAGTGTCCACCAGACACCACAAAGATCACTGGTACTATTGCAAACGTGTCAAAGAACTCAGTCATAGACTCAACAGCACAAGAAAGCTATATAAAAAGCAACCAAGTGACCGCAACAGGACCTTACTTTGTGAGGTCAAGGAAAATGTGCATCAAGAGATTTTGCTAATGACAGAACAAAAGTGGCTGGAATGGTGTTCACACCTGAATGAACACACCTCTCTTGGAGAGATGTGGAGATGTGGCAGCAAATCCACCGCGCCAAAGGAAATAAAGCACCTAAAGCCCCACACACCAAGCATCCTCAACAG